TAAGGCCCCCCCCCCCCCACGAGAAGAGTCTTAGTCGATGCATACTGAGAAACTGAAAGGTCTTCTGCAAACTAACGGTAGAAAACCGATTTACAATCATATCAGATCAAGATATTTTACACTTTGTGTTTCTGCTGTTCTGCTTTAAAAACGACAAAATCAGTCGATGGATCGGTTGATTATCGACGTTCTAGCTGCCAGTCGGTCATGCAGGGACCGGCTTCAACAGACGTGGGACGTTCGACTACAACGTCTCATCCAGAGAGTGAGACAGGTGCGTTGGTGTACCTGCTCTCCAGCCCGTCGATGTACTCCTTCCTCCTCCGCCGGCTGTCCTGAGCCGACTGCTTGTTGCGGATCTTTCTCCGAACTCTCTTCAGGATTCTTTCCTCAGCCTGCAAACAAAGCTTCATTCAGAATCACTCATCGTCTCTACGCTCAAAATAAAAACGTGGAACCGTTCGGGGCCGTTTCTAGCATCCTGAGGGCCCCACTTTTGTGCCATGATGATGTTTATGATTCCCCTAACGTAGTCTGGGGGTATTTAACGTTTCAATACATCAATCAGCTGCACTTTAATGCTGCGTTCCCACCAAACACCAATAAAGTTATTGACGCAGGTAGATTACATCAATAGACAGTGCGAGGACGGAAACAGACGCCAACTGGGCGACGCAAATGCTGCAAACTTTGAGCAAAGATGTGCGCACATCTGGAGCTTCCGGAGGAATAAACACCGAAAGTCACAACAGATTCTGCTCCGGAGACGTTTACCAGCAAGAAGAGAGTTCATTTTTTTAACTTTTGGGATTAAAAAGTGGAAAAGTGGTTCACCCAGAGCTCTATGGTTCTCCTTCACATTTACACAGAGACCAGAAAAGGAAGAGAGGATGTTGGAAAATATGTGTCTGTTACTTGATTCCAGCTGTCGGTTTTACTTTACTATGAACTCTGTTAGCATAGCCCCGATCAACCAAACTCCATTCAGAAAACAAGCATTTTAAGAGTTGTTTGCTCGTCGTCTTGCAGACAGAGTTTGAATTCAGACTTTTTACAAACAGTCATCATGATGTCGTTATTTCAGCATCATTTTTGATCCGTTTATTGACATTCAATCACAGATAAATCGGTTTATTTTGGGCTCATACCAACGTTGTAAGCCAGATTTACGGACGGACATTAGGAATAGAGGACAGATCTGTGAAAACCTCTCAGGGGTTTTTATTTTCTCAAATTGTCCCCAGAAATTCAAACACAGAGAAAATGCTAATAAATACATCTAAAAACTCCTGAAGACTTTCAGGATTTACAGAATCTGAACTATAACATCTGTCAAATGCCCATAAATGAGACAGATGCTGCATTTCCCTTCAAATGTTTATGAAAATGTGTAATATTGTTTACTGCGGTTGTCATGAAAACCACGTTAGAGCAGAGTTACGGCTGAATTTATGCTGAAAACAACGACGCCACCTGTTTGTGATAAGGAGGTAAATACATATGAAACATAATCATTAACACAAACATGCATTAAACACCTTTAATCAGTCGTATTCGCTGATGAATGCAGGAGTTTGGAATATGAACACACAAGGGGCCCTGGTGGCTTCAGGGGCCACATGCAACCACATAACTGCCCCAATAACAGCCCCAAGTGGGTAGAAAAGATCAGTCGCTCATTGTGCTGAGAAAACTCCTCCAAGTGAACTTTTCAGGGACAACTGTTGAGCTGACCTTGGTGAGGGGGAGGTTGTTGGGCAGAGAAACTCCTTCCTGGCTCAGCAGCTTCTGTTCCTCCTCGGTCAGCTGGAGATCTGGGTACAGCTGCAACAGCAGAAGAAGAGTCAGTGCGCCGTCAGCAGGAACACACACACACACACACACACACAAACACACACACAGAAAGAAGCCTCACCAGATCACTGTCGGGGCTCGGAGGGTCGACGAGGGTCAAACTGCCGTCGAGGCGAGCTGCAGGGAGCACGGGCAGCTCGTTCACGATGCACGAGTCTGAAAACAACATCTGAGAGCTCCATTCATCTGTACAGGACAGGAAATGACATCATGGTCACAGCGTGGTCATAAGAGACAGCTGGACTTTATTGATCATATTGATCAGTATACACTGTATCTTTATGGATGATATTGATCAGTATACACTGTATCTTTATGGATGATATTGATCAGTATAC